TTTGGAAGCTGGGGGTGGGGGTGGGGGGAGGACCAGGGAGGATGATTCAACCACTCAACCACTAGATGTCGCTGAAAAACAACAAATCCTACACACTGGGCCTTTAAAAAGGGCATAATCTGCCTGTTTCAGGTCATTTGATGATCTGAAACAGGCAAGTGAGACAATAAAACAAAGCCAGAAGAAGAAATCTGTAAGGAGGCAAATATTTTCTCACAGCACAGTACGTTCTTAAACTCTCTGATTTAAAACCAGTGGCGCCAAAAGAAGAAATAAAGGAAACAATTATTTCCTTTAACCTGGTAAGAAACATAATTCATAYGCATTTCTCTGTTAATTTAGCTTTCTCAGTCTCATTCATTACACACACACAGACACACATATCCTTGTATTTGCATCAAACTGAGGATAYTGTATTGGCTTCCATTCATTTTTGTAGCTGTATTTATGCCTAACCCAGACATTTTCCCTAAAACTAACCATTACTGGTCTATAGTTAACATTAAACTAAACCAGAACTTAATTCACTCCACACCTCTAAACCTAACYAGTAAAGCACAGCAGAGCTGCAAACAAAGTGAGGACATTGAAGAGGTCCTCACTTTATATCAGACCTCACTTTGATAGTAACTATGTTGCAAATGGTCCTCACTCTGTAGTATAAACAAGTACAAACACACACACACACACACACACACACACACACACACGTTATCAACAAGACATGGCTCACTCTCTTTCCATTAACAATGTGACTCACGTACATTATATCAAGTAAAACCCATTGGAGCACTGATTAACACAAACTGTACAACATGTTAGAAAATACTTGTTCCTCCACAACAACAATATACAAACCAATAATTATATCTCAAATGCGGATGAATCTGTAGAATAAATCAAACTATATTTGTTTAATCTTCTGTTCTAATCTTGCATTTTTTCCACATGTAGTGACTTGTCCATCAACTCACCATCACTGTTGTGGTATGCCACCACACTCTAAAAATGAAATGTTGGATTTACTTAACCATGTTATGTGTCCTGGTTCCACTGAACTGAGTTGAGTAAATTCAAAGCAACGTACTCATGTTCTTTGGTTAAAAAACTGGTATATTGCTTTGAATTTACTCAACTCAGTTAAGTGGAACCAGGTCACATAACATGGTTAAGTACATCCAACATTTCATTTTTTACAGTGCAATTACACCTGACCCCCAAAAAAGACTAGAAAATACACCACAGCTGTCAAATTTCATCTCTCCAGCAAAAGGAAACCTCTTCACTAAGTGCTTTAGTCATAACGTCGTAGGCTCAGCTGTAATTAGCTTCTAAAGGATAGAGAAAATACTGCAGGCAACATGGCCGACATTTGATCATATTCTGTGTATAAGCTGTGTTTTACAGGATGAACACATTCCA